AAATCCGTGAATGAATGTTCCGAAGTGAAATAAACTTCAACGGAATAAAGTTGAATGGAATTGAATTGAAATAAAGAAGAATAAATAATTAGAAGAATAAACTTCAACTTTACTGTTCAGTGCACTGATGTCTGACTCATTTTGGATAGTAAAGTTTATTGTTAAATTGTTAAATGCCCTTACATATCTCTGTTACCATTATAAGTGTTTGATCACCCCATTTGAGTGATCATTGCAAAAAATTTGTTTATGTATATACTGTATTCTATATATAGTACTAGGCCTGCTGTCGCAATAATCAATATATCGACTTATCGCGCAATATATGTACATGACCTCAATAATTTTTGGTAATGCAATATATCGCCCATTATATTTACTTAAAAATTAATGTCACCATGTTTTGTACATTCCACTTGTGCCTGTGTCTTTTGCAGCTTCTTGTACATAACGTGGTGTAGTCATGAGGTGCTAGTTCAAATTTAAAAAAAATGCTTCTACAAAAAAAGTTTCATCTGCAGATATGGCCTTGTTTAGGGATCTGTGCCTTTGTCCGGACATCTGACTGCTAAGTAGTGATTGTGTTTTTCAGCAATAATGTGCACCCTTAATTTACAGAGAAAAGAAGGTCAGGGAAGATATTTTTAAGATATCTAATATTTTGATACTTAATTTCCATGATCTAAATATTCTTAAAAAATTAAAAGTGTGTTGTCATTTGGAAGTGTGTAGGCCTTCTTGCATTATTATGCTGTTACATTATGATTATATATTCAGTGGCATAAAATGGTCTTTCAAATGAAATGAATGAATAATATCGCTTATCGCAATTATTTCTGAGGAAATATAACGCACAACAAAAAGTTGTTATCGTGACAGGCCTATATAGTACCAGTCAAATGTTTGGACACACGAATGGGAAAGTGTCCAAAACTTTTGACTGGTACTCTACTATAATATACACAAAGAATATCGGCTGGTATATTGGTATCGGCCTTTTTTTTACTCCCTAATATCGGTATCGGCCCCAAAAAACCCATATCGGTCGGGCTCTAGGAAAAACATCTTTGAAACCTTTATTTTTAAAAGTGTATGGGATCAGTTGACAATGCTTTGAGATGAATAATTTTCATAGACTGTTTCGATACTGTAGACAAATCATTTCTCCTCTCAATACTCACATACAGAGCAGAATGGAAACAGAAAGTAAAGGCACTAATAAAATCTTCTCTGGTCTTGCTTGTGCTCCTTGGTTAAATTCTGCTGGACACAAAGACAAAAAAATAAAACATATTGTTAAACAATCTCATTCTAACTTAATTAAAATCATCCCAACAAACTTATATTATTAGCTTAAAAGAATCAAATATTTTTTTCACAAACCTAGTTTCACACTTTGAATTAGAAATTCATTTGTGATGTAGCATGTGTAGATTCCTGTATCACGGTGTTGAACGTTGTTAAGTTTTAGGGAGAAGTTTCCATTCAGATACTTCTCACGGATAATTTCAGTTCTGTTGTAATATGTTGAATCCTGTTCTTCCAGAGAGACTTTGCCCTTAATAATGTCATACACTTTCAGCGTCTCGTTGTGTCTCCAGTGCACTGTAATGTCTTCAGCTGTAAGCTGAGATTTTTTAGAAGAACAAGGCAAAACCACAGAACCGCCAACAGAACGCACAAATGGGTGCTGCAGAGGCTCTGAAAACAAAGAGAAGTTGCGATAAATGAAACCGTTTTTCATGCAAGAAACATAAGAGTTTGCTTCATGACTGACTGTTGACTGAATAGCGTCTATAGACTAGAGCATGGTTTTGAATCCATGGTCCTCGGGACCCACCGCTCTGAACATTGTGTATGTCTCTCCACACCTGATTACGATCATCAGCTCGTTAGGAGGGAGATCCATGAACTCAGTTGAGTGTGTCAGATAATGCCGAGTTCACACTGCACGATATTAGCCCGATTTTTCACTCGCCGACAGGTTTTGTGAAATCGCTGACAAATGCCCGAAATCGGAGGCAAATCGGTGCTCGTTCACGCGAGTGACATTCACGCAGTGTGAATTATCAAAAGACACGATCTGAGAGAATCGCCGACACGTCGCCGACGCCCGCAAAATATTTGGCATTCTAAATATCTGGAGCTGTCGGCGATTCACAATCACGCTGTGTGCAATGAGTTCTGACTGAAAACTACATCGGCGATGACCTACAGCCAATGAGAGACCAAGATACAGGGCAGCGGGAAGTTCGGGGAGGAGTTATAGACCAGAATATCAGTATTTTAATAGATATATGAACAATTATATCATACAGAAACAAGCACAAACATTTGCTTGACCAGCCACAACATCAGCATAACAGTTACTGCAAAATTATTTATCTCCAACTCTCTTTGCAGAACACCCAATCCCTGTTCCCTGCATCTCCCTCCTGCATAATCTGTTTTTCTTTTTCTCCTTGTAGCTGGAAATCAGCTCACAGACAATTTGTGGCCTATATATATATTTTTGAATAATTACAGTCTCGCTGGAGAACTCCGGTCTGAAGCACGCGGGTTCTCGCGTTATTTCCTTATCACTTCTCGCGTGTGTTTTGTTGTGAAACGTAGTTTGCGGACCAGACAGAGCTGTCGGCGATTCTTCCTATTGTGAAGTCATGCAGTGTGAAACCCCCTGTCGCCGATCCATCGTGCAATGTGAACACAGCAGCAACTGAATGCTACCCCAGATAGTCACGCAGTGTGAAAACAATGGCGATCCGACGAGTTTGAAAATCTTGCAGTGTGAACTCGGCATAAGTGAGACATACACAATGTGCAGAGCGGTGGGTCACCAGGACCAGGGTTTAAAACCACTGGACTAGAGTTTGCTTTCAGCAGAGAACAATTCTAATCCATTGCTTTTAATAGACAAAGTGCATTACAAAGAACAATACAGGGATTGTGTTAAAGTACCATGCAACCAAACAAACTTAAATTCTGAAACTCAATGGCAGTTCCCACTTCATTTCAAACTGAAGACCCCTGTGAAGACCATATGACATTTTTGTATAATGATATAAAAGTGTTTGTAAACCAGCCTGAATAGAAAGAGTACATTGCTAAGAACTTGGCATATGTGACTTAAAGTTCTTTTTTCACTTTTTCAACTTTAGTTACTGTAATATTGCTGTTTGAGCATAAAAAAGACCTGCAAGGTTACAAAGCTTAAAGTCAACTCTAAAAGGAGATCTAATTGTTAACAGAAAACACTTCTCAAGAACTACAACAAACGGCTTGTTATGACTGCAGTGTGCTTCCTCTGGATATCGTGAAGTCATAATATCACTCATTTAAATAATTCCCACAAGCAAAAAAGGGGGCAAGGCCTGGTTAAACTGCACTGGAGACCATATTATAAACTGTAAAAAAAAAAAAAAAATGTATAAAAAAAAAACACTCTGAAACGTCCTGTAAAATCTGTGCTCTGTGCTTGCTCTGCATGATCCTCTTGTTCGCAAACATTCTCAGGGTCTGAATCGAGCTCGAATTGGTATGGCAAAATCAATGCCATCGTTAATATTTACAGCGGAGCAGATGAAACCTGTGGTTATGGTGAGGGGTGTGACATTCCAGGAACACGCTCTAAGTGGTTTGCCAATGACAACACACTGCAATACTAACCAACTGCAGAACCATACATCACAGCAGTGTGAGGACAACAGCGCCAGCCTAACAGTCTGATGCCGGAAGTGGGCGGAGTAGCACTATCAGATCGGAAGTGGGCGGAGTAGCAGTATCAGATCGGAAGTGGGCGGAGTAACAGTATCAGATCGGAAGTGGGCGGAGTAACAGTATCAGATCGGAAGTGGGCGGAGTAGCAGTATCAGATCGGAAGTGGGCGGAGTAACAGTATCAGATCGGAAGTGGGCGGAGTTCATGTAAACTAATAACGGCGGAAGACACGGTAAGAAGTTAATCATGGCATAAGAAGAGAGCTCAGTCAAAAGTTAATGAAAACGGAAAAAACTGCCATGCCTTCAGAGGTTTTGAGGAAGAGCCGTAGTATATGAAATTAAACAAGAAAGACCAGGAAAAGGCCCTTCCTCAACTTGATCAGGCGGAAATTAATGATGACAGACAAAGAGCCTTTCAGGTTTTGATTCCAAATCAAGGAACATAGGGTATGGATGATAAAAGTTTTTCTTTACAAGTGTCGGGACAAAAGGCACCTCAGGATTAACTCCATGTTTATGGAGTTTTGATTTGTTTTAGTTTTAATGTTATATTTAAGAATTATTGTTAAATGTGTGCCTGCATAACTTGTATTCAATTTATTTGCTTTGGATTGATTTTGTTTTATTTCTTTTCTTTAGTTATTGTTATTTTGTATTTTTAATTAACTGTATTTATTTGGAGCAGATAGTGTGTGATACTTTTGCTATTTAAGAGGGAAAAACGTGGTTTGATAATAACATGGTTTGTTAAACTTTGAAATGGTCCAAAACACAGAAGTAGCAGAATGCCTAGTAAGGCAACACTTGCTCCGCCCACTTCTGATCTGATACTGTTACTCCGCCCACTTCCGGCATCAGACTGTTAGGCTGTCGCTGTTGTCCTCGCACTGCTGTGATGTATGGTTCTGCGGTTAGGCCTTACTCACACACTGGGCCAGATAACCAATCACATTTCGTGTTTCAGAAGGAGGGTTTCATTGAAACAGGAACTAAACATGTATAATAATCTAATGTACAATAATCAACTGCAATAATTTACAATAGGTGAAAAATAATGCGCTTTTGGGATAATCAAGCATGACAACCTATTCTAGTACACCCCAAAAACTAAATCAAGAGGCATAATAGGACCTCTTTAAATAAAAATAAGAAAAAAATACCTTCGATATGTAGCTCCACGGTCTTAATTACTGAGACAGCTATGATGTAGCACTGGTACTTTCCCGTATCGCTGTACCGAAGATTTTTGAGTTTGAGTGAGAAGTTTCCTCTCAGATGCTGCTCAGAGTCACTTTCAACTCTGTTCTCGTACTCTGGATCCTGTCCTTCCACAGAGACTTTACCCTTAACAATGCCATATACTTTCAGTCTGTTATGGTGTTTCCAATTCACTGTAATGTCTTCAGATGCAAGCTGAGGTTCTTTAGAGGAACACGGTAAAACGACAGAACCTCCGATAACACCCTTAACAGTGACCTGCAGAGACACTGAAAACAGAGAGAAGAAACATGTTTTTTATGCAAAAAAAAAAACATTCAAACAAACAAAAACAAATAAACTAGGTTTTATTTTTAAAAGACTTATCCTTAGTGCTCACCTTCATTTACCACCATTACCAGATGAAGTAAAACAATACAGCCCCTGTAAACACAGAAAGAATTAAATATTTACTTATAGATTCACATTCCTGCTGTTAAACCATTGACGTGCATTGTTGGGTTACTGCATTACAGTAAACATGCTTTTTTTATTTTAAAAAGCTGGGAAAATGGGAATTATTTTCTATGCTAGGCCTAATCGACAATATGCCAGTGTTTGGACCTGTGAATTTTTTTTCTTTTTCTATCAGCGAGCTTTAGTGATATTAAAAAGCGCAGTAAGGTGATTTTACCATTTTCAGATAGTTTGCTCCAGCTAACAGCTAACAGGTAAGCTACAACTGGAAAATGCTTGAAATAGTGCTAGTGTGGACGGAAAGTGTTTTGAACCCAAAGTTCGTATCTTATCCACAATAATGTGCTAGTAGGCTATAGTTACAGTATCTGTCTGTATAGAAACATTTGCATAGTTCAAATATGCACAAGGTGTAACGTTACTTGGCTACTTCTGCAGCAGTCCGGGTGGAGTCATGTTTTCAAAACTTAAAACTAAAAGTGCTTTTCCTCCCTCTACTGTCCACTACAAACCGTTTTAAACTTTGTAATATATTATTTATCTTTATCGGGTGGTCTGCAGCTCATGATAATAGTAGCTATATATTATTATGCAATTAGCATTTAGCCGAGGCTAGGAAAGTACCGTTTATTTCTATTTCTATTTGTGTGACTTGAAAATAATCAGACCAAATACCTGCTGGAGGCCATAACTCAAAAGGTTAAATAATAAAATATATTTTGTTAATATTAAAAGAAGAAGAAGAAGAAAGTGATGGGTGCTTTCAAAGCATTAATTTGTAAAGCTTCGGAACCTTTCCCAATTCCTAGTGGCAGGGTTGCCAGGTCTTTATAATCAAAAATAGCCCAAAAGTAGAGATACCCCTCGTTGCAGACTGTAGCGCGGTGACGTCACGTATGTGTTTACCGCGCATGCGCACAGTGACGTAAGGTATGTCTATAACACGCATGCGCATTGTAAATGCGTGTGTAATTTGCATTGCGTGGTGACGTAACACGTCATTAAAACGCATGCGCATACTTAACAGAATACTCTAATAAAATGTATACGTATTAAAAAAAACGCTAAGGTGAAAAAAAAAACAGTAAAATGTAGTACAGCACATATCTAGGATTTTAATCATGTATCATCTGAGGTAAAATTATACGGAATTAGTTTATTCTGTAATATCTGTGTAGTATTTTATTTACAATTTATTAACATTCTGTTGCACTATACTTCCCTGTGTATATTTATTGTGTAACATTACTCTACACTTTAATGGCACCTTATATATTTCTTATTTTAATCTTTCCTCTGTCATGGTTCTTGTTTATTTATTTAGTATAATTATAGACATGTTTCTGTTACTTTGGCAATTCTGCATGTGAAATATTTAAGCCAATAAAGTATTTTTAAGTTAAATTGACTACATACTGTATATTTTCAGTCTGCATCCCATTTTATGCATGGTGCCTCCAAAAACCAATCTGATAACAGTGATCTTTTTTTTTTTTTGCAAAGAACAAAACAGAAAATATAATTGTGTGTATATATATATATAGAGAGAGAGAGAGAGAGAGAGAGATTAAAACTATAAACATGACTATATGAGAAAGAAAAATAAAATTGCATCTACACGTTCTGAAATTCACCTCCATCATTAATAAAACAATCAACTGAGCAGTAGCCCTCAAAGTCTTTGAAGGAATAAAACCCACGCAGGACTCCCCTCCTGCCATTCCCACCATAGCCAGGTGGGCAGTCTTTAAATATTTCGCAGCACCGTAGGCCCTGGGTCAGTGAATATGGCACCCGGAACTTCTCTCTGTATCGCGCAGAAAATGCACTCCAGTTCACGACACCTAATTTACATAAAAGAACAAACAATATTAAAACAACATTAAATCATTTTGAAGAAAGGCAAAAGAGCCATACAAGGAGAAGATTTTAAATGTATTTTAAAATATATTATAGGATGGTGTTAGGAAAAGTGTGTTATTTGCTTTGTCTGTAAAGTACCTAAGAGATTTAATTTATAATTAACATTACCATCAACTATAAAGTCTTTGAAGGAATAAAACCCACGCAGGACTCCCCTCCTGCCATTCCCACCATAGCCAGGTGGGCAGTCTTTAAATGTTTCGCAGCACCGTAGGCCCTGGGTCAGTGAATATGGCACCCGGAACTTCTCTCTGTATCGTGCAGAAAATGCACTCCAGTTCACGACACCTAATTTACATAAAAGAACAAACAATATTAAAACAACATTAAATCATTTTGAAGAAAGGCAAAAGAGCCATACAAGGAGAAGATTTTAAATGTATTTTAAAATATATTATAGGATGGTGTTAGGAAAAGTGTGTTATTTGCTTTGTCTGTAAAGTACCTAAGAGATTTAATTTATAATTAACATTACCATCATCTATACTGTGTGCATAATTATTAGGCAAGTTGATTTTCTAGTCTTTTTTTACCAATTCCAAACCACATAAATCTTAACTACTATTGATTTTGTATTTAATCATTTATAAGTGATAGGCTATATAATTGTCCATGAAGGCTGGAAGTGAAAAACTCCTTACATTCAGGTGTGCAGAATTATTAGGCATGTTTTCTTTTACTTATAAAATGAGCCAAAAAAGAGGTTTAACTCATCAAATTAAAAAAGTTAAATTAAAAAAGTTTGTCAAGTCAAAATTTAGGTTGGTTTGGCTTGAGAAAGCATAGCCTGAAAGTTTGAAGGGTTTTTTTTATTATTATTTGAAAGTTTTACAGTTGAGGGCAATACAGTCTACCAGAAAAAAAACAAAAAACAGACAGATGAGAGGAAACAGACAGACAGACAGACAGACACTCAAATACTTTTTACAGTACTCACTACACGTTAGAGTTAAAGAACTTACTGTCTAGCCACATGAAGTGGGCCTCTTCTTTGAATTTTGTCTCACTGACAATGTCCCTAAAAAGCTTGCATGTGAGAGAAAGTCTCATAAAGGCCATGTCTCCGTCGTCTGAGACCACTCTCAACAGGATCTGCCCGAGGATCTCCAGTGGCATCTGTCCAAAATAACCATCAGTCAGTCTAAAATGTGACTGTAGATAAGACATATAAAAAAATGAAACTGATAGATTGACAGGATTTTATACTGTGCTTACCTTGGTCAAGTAATCAACAGGTGGGGGGGCTTCCATTGCCTCTAAATTGGAGAGTAATAAGAGTAGCATCAATGTCAAAACCCTGTTAATTGTGCTGTACAAGAATTAAAGTAGAACCCATACCTGCTCTTTCTAGTCTCCTCTTTTTTCTGAGTTGTTTTCGTTCCGCGTCTGACCTTCAAATGTTTAAAATATAAAGAGCTTATGAAGAGAGTTTGATCTTAATGACATCCCCAGAAGAAGATTTGAAATTCACAGGTTTAGACTGATATATGTCATGAAATTATTTCCACTTTATAGTTAAAACGTACGGTAGCGCATTGCTGCCACAAATATTTATTTTGTCCACTCGATTATTTGGTATAAACGACATCTTTTCTCGTAATAACGAGTTGTTGTTAAAATGACAATTATCTTATTAAAACGACATATCATAAAAACAACATATTATATCATAAAACAACATAACATGTGGCAGCAGTATGCGCCATCATAAAAACACTTCTTTGTACTATTTAATTGAAACTGTTAAATTGATGTTTACAGATAAGTTGGCAACATTTCACATACAGTACAACTTGATCTGACTTGCTTCAATGGATAATTACTCAGCAGAAGCATACACCAGCACCTTCTAATTGTTGGCATGTCATACTGTAAAATAGAGCACTGATGAGCTAATGGTAACTAAGGATCTCTAAATAAATGACTTTGGAATTTAAGACTTACTTCGTTGAAATCAAAATACCCCTCCAATACCACGTAGAGTGCATACTACAATACGAATTAAAGCTAGTTTTAGCAGACAATGTACAATCATATACCAAAATGTTTGTTTCTATTCAATAATACCAATAAACAAAACATCAAATGCAAATTCTTTCAGATGTAGGACATTTATAATACTTTCTGATGTGACTTAGGTTACAACACTGCATGGCTTACCGTCAACACAAACACTCCGCAGTTATTTGAATTGTGTTGTCTGGGAATGCCCTGAAAATTACAACAAGAAAAAAACAAGCAAAAAAAAAAACACATTTCCAACAGATGCCAAAAATTCATCGGCTGGTCCCGTCTCCATTAAGGTATGGTTTAGCTATGAAAATAACAGCAAAGTACTATAATGTGTTTTTTTTTTGTTAGTCTTAAAACAATAAAAAAAAAACTAACAGTAATTTAAAAAACAAAAAAAAACAGCTGGTACCTGATTCAGCTGGACTGTACTGGGACTGGGTGACTGTTTCCAGCGTGCCTTGTTCGGTTGCACATCCTGTAGAGCAGCACCGTGGAAGACTCAGAAGGGACTGAGGAGTACATAAAAGTGTAAATAAATTGATAAAAAAAAAACATCCAGTTTAACGTCAGTCAAGTAATATCTCACATTTAAAGGATTTCTGCCAGTCACATTAAGGTAAATTTAAGAGGTAACACTGGTAACACTTGTGTCAATGGTTAATAATATGCTCACTTTTAGGGGTATAGTTGCACCTTTGAGGTTACTGCCCCAGTAAAGGGCTAAAATATACAAT